ATAAGCAGAACATAGATGAAGACCAAACACCTTAGGATGGGCTCTTAGCTCTTTTCAGGTATCCCCTGCTTCGTCTTTGCCATCCCTTCCCCAATATTCATATATACAGATTCACATATACCCTACACCAAACACAGCAAGCAGCTCCCTGCTCTCAAATGTGACAGCTATGTTTCAGGCTGCTCCATGTGCTGCTCTTACCTCCCTCTTCCTCATCTGACCAACCTCTTCTGCCAAGACCTACCTGAAATGCTTCCTATTCAGGATCCTTTGGGAACCCCTTCCTTCTCAACCCTGTGGAGTTGGTCACTCCCTTTTCCACATTGTAATGGCATCTTGTATAATACACTCGTGATGGCATTGTGCCATGTCCCTCGCTGGACAGTGCATGTCACAAGCACCATGACTTGCTGTCTTTGGACTTCCATTACAGCACACCAGGCACATAAGGAAAGGCAGAGACCTTCCTAAGAGCTCTCACCAAAAGCATGTCTCAAAGGCAATTAAATCTGTTGCTTATACATTGTTCTTCCTAGGCAAGAAATTCTTAAAATTTCTGAAGTCATGAAACCCCAATGTTCTTAATGTTATTGTATAGCCCTTTTTACCTGGTGATGTGGTTCGGATGTATGTCCACTCCCAAATCTCATGCTGAATGTGTTTCCCAATGTTGGAGGTAAGGCCTGGTGGGAGGTGATTGGATCATGGGGGCAGATCCCTCATGAGTGGTTTAGCACCATCTCTTTGGTGATAAATAAGTTCTCACTCTGAGTTCACGTGAGATCTGGTTGTTTAAGTCTGTGTGTGGCACCTCCTGCCCTGCTCACACTTGCTCCCACTCTCGCCATGTGATGTCTCTGTTCCTACTTCACTTTCTGCCCTGAATATAAATTTCCTGAAGCACTCGCCCAGAAGCAAATGCTAGTGCCACACTGGTACAGACTGCAGAACCACGAGCCAATTAAACCTCTTTTCTTTATAAATTACCCAGCCTCAGGTATTTGTTTATAGAAACACAAGAATGGCCTATGAACATGCTTAGGTTCTAAAAGTTCTTCATAGAATTTAGGCATTGAAAAAATGTGAGTTGAATTCAAAGAACAGGTATAGAGAACTAACAGAGAATTTCACTTTAGCACTTAATATAACTAGTCACCTAGTGTAAAGAATCTTTGTGCTGGGCAAGCCTTATTGTATAATGTTTTCTGGTGCTACAGCCTTCTGTACTAGTTAAGTTCTGGAAAATGAAACTGTTTTTTTAAAGAAAACTAATTTTATCCCAGAAAGATCTGGGAAATCCTCCAAGACTCCCTTTTAAGAGTAGGACCTGAAATCTATCATTAGAAAAAAGTTCCACTTTTTCTTATCAGATAAATTGACATTAAGTTTACTTAATGGTAGTTCATGGCCTTCTTCTGGAAGACTAATAATCATCAATTATATTATAGTTAGCTTACTTTGAAAGCAAGGTAGCCTTACTTTCTTACAAAGTTGTTGTGAAGAATTATAAAATGCATGTGAAAATCTTTTGTATACAGTAACATCCTCTATAAATTTAAGGTCTACCGTAACCACTCTATTACTACTAATAGTAGTACATACCAAATAATAGCAGTAGTACTACTAATAATAGCAATAAGGCAGTGACTAAGTGCTAGTTAGTTTAGCTGCTTTTTCATCTTGGATAAAAACTTTCCATTGGCTGGGCACGGTGGTTCACGCCTGTGATCCCAGCACTTTGGGAGGCCAAGGCGGGTGGATCACTCGAGGTTAGGAGTTTGAGACCAGCCTGGCCAACATGGTGAAACCCCGTCTCTACTAAAAATACAAAAATTAGCCTGGCGTGGTGGCACACGCCTGTAATCCCAGCTACTTGGGAGGCTGAGATAGGAGAATCGTTTGAACCAGGGAGGCAGAGGTTGCAGTGAGCTGGGATCACACCACTGCACTCCAGCCTGGGCAACAGAGCAAGACTCTATCTCAAACATACAAACAAACAAACAAAACTTTCCATCACACAGAGCCTCCCAAAAAATGAAATGTAGATGTAAAAAGAGACATCAAAGAAGGATGGCCATCTAAATATGCCAGGGAAACAGTTACGCATTGGAGATAATTTTCCAACACTGAGATGTTTGGATCTGGCATCCTCAGTAACATTTCTTAATCTTCAGTTCCACAGTAATATTCTATGAGCTATGAACTATTAACAATAAGAAATAAACAGTTTTTTCTAAACAATCCTATAGCTAGCATACTACATGCCATCACACTGTTCCTTTGTTGGTTTTTATTTTGTTTTAATGAATACCTTGAATGCTATGTAACTTAGAATGCACATATTAAAATCACTCCAAATATCACTAATGGCAACTCACCTCAAACTATATTCAGAATAAGCACTTTACAGGAGCAAAGAATTTTCACTTTAACCTGTCTTTATTCTGATGTTAAGAGCAGAAAGAGAGAAACAGAAAATGTGTGTATGCCAAATTTCTTGAATCCCTAAGCCTCCCAATTATTTTGCCCTATTCAAAAATCAAGGCAAGGTGTGGTGGCTCACACCTATAATCCCAACATTTTGGGAGGCAAAGGTGGGAGGATTGCTTAAACCCATGAGTTCGAGGTCAGTCTGGGCAACATAACCAGATCCTGTTTCTATTAAAAAAAAAAAAAAAAATCTAAAATCTAAATAATAGAGTTTGTTTGCTAAAAGAGGGTATTTATCAAATATTACTAAAATGTTAATGTAATTAAACAGTGCTTATTTTTATTTTTATCTTATGTCAAATAATATTGATAATAATAACTATTAAAATCATTCTATGCAGCAAGTAAAAGAAATGGTATATGTGAGATATGTAGCAAGTGAATGATATTTAACACATTTTTTTAATCTAAAATGAAATTATTTAACAGCTCATTGTACCTCAAAGCTTTTTCATTGTAAAAATGTTTTGGCGCCTATGAAAATACTTCTAGCCACACATACATACATAAATATATGCATACATATATACATGTGTGTATCTAGAAGTATTTCATATACATATGTTACAATATTTAAGCCAGGTTCATAGAATGTTGTATAAGCTTCTAGAAGACTCAAAGCATAGGAATAAATACTTTCCCCAGGTCATTTTTCAAGGTTAACAATGTGCTTTTCAAAACAGGCCCTTGACATTCTTCTAATTGTTAGAAATAAAAACCTATTGTAGAAACACTTATCCATTTCCATCAATGAAGTTAAAAGCAGTATCACATTGACATGTTCCACTTAGCACCATTCTTTTTAAGTAGTTCAAAAGTTTAAAATCCAAAAGTACTAAGGGGGTTCACAGCAATGGCAGAGTGAAGAAATCAGCATATCCTTTTCCCAAAACAACCATAAAATTGGGCAAGGCTAGGCATGATGATTCACAGCTACAGTCTCTGCACTTTGGGAGGCTGAGGTGGGAGGCTACCTAGTAAGGTGAGGAGTTTAAGACCAGCCTGGGCAACAAAGCAAGACCCCATCACCACCAAAAAACAAACAGACAAAACTAGTAGGCACAATGGCTCATGCCTGTAGTCCCAATTACAAAGAAGGAATGTGTTCACATCTGTGACTAAGAAAGGCTTAAGAGAAAAAAGCAGTAATTGAAACAAGGCTTGAGACAGTAAGTGGGATTTCGACAGTGGAAAATGAAGGAAGGCCATCTCAAGAAAGGTCAAGATGAGGTGTCTCCTGTCTGATAAAAGCACAGAGTTCAATTGTTTGGAAACTTTTTCTACCATAATACAATTTACAAACATTTCCCATGCCAGCCTACAGTGCCTAGTCCTATGGGAGCACCCAAAAGCAGAGAAAAGATAAGTGGCTTGTCGTGGCGGCTCATGTCTGTAATTACAACACTTTAGGAAGCCAAAGCAGGAGGATCATTTAAGACCAGGAGTTCAGGAAAACCTTTAATCCACTTTAATAATCTGCTTACTTTAATATCATTTTTAGTCAAAAATTGTTTGCTACATACCCCACAATGAATGGTAATACCAGATTAAGAACCGCAAATGTAGCCAGGCACAGTGGCTCACACCTGTAATTCCAGCACTTTGGGAAGCCAAGGTGGGTGGATCACAAGGTCAGGAGTTCAAGACCAGCCTGGCCAACATGGTGAAACCCCATCTCTACTAAAAATATATTTTAAAAATTAGCCAGGCATGATGGTGGGCACCTGTAACACCAGCTACTCAGGAGGCTGAGGCAGAGAATTGCTTGAACCCGAGGGGCGGAGGTTGCAGTGAGCCGAGATCATGCCACTGCACTCAAGCCTGGGCAACAGAGCAAGACTCCCACAATATGTATTTGTTAATTTGAATTTGAAGAAAACCTTGATTACTAATTACTTAGGGAACATTATTAAAATCATATAGAAATAAATTTTTAAAAAAGAGAAACACAAATGTGATGGGAAGTAAAGGTGAAAAACATTGGTCAGAGCCACCCCTAAGTACAAACAGAGGCATTTAAACAGTAAAGAGAAATGATACAGGCTGCAGTTGAGAAGACTGCTCTGGAAGTGCTGAGAAAGGGGATAGTACAGTTAGGAAGTTATTGCAAAAGTCCCATTTAGTTAAGGGTAATAGATGCCTAACTCAAGATGGTACTGAAGAAAGATGATAGAATTTAAAACATGGCAAAGATAGAAGATAAGCTTTGTGAGGCCATAGGCCTGACATGTCACTATCTCTACTGGTCTCTAGCTTAACACATATTTGTTGAATGAATAAATAAGATCTTGGTGGTGAGGTGGTGTATTATAATGGTGAAGCCAGACTGCTTGGGTTCTTGCACTTACTAGCTCTATGATCTTAGACAAGTTACTTGATCTCGATGCCTCAGTTTTTCCATCTGTAAAATGGGGCTAATAATAGAGTCTACATTATAGGGTAGTTTTAAGGATCAAATGGGGTCACTATACAAAGTGCTTAGAAAAGTGCCTGATACATATAGGTGTGTATTAGTTATGATTTTTATTTGTGAAACGTTGTACCTTTAACAGAACTTCAGATGTGAAAAATATAGTTCTGGGGGAAGAGCAATCAACAGCACTGACAGTGTTAAATTGACCGGGCAGTGAAGATACCGGATAGTGTGGACTGGGGGCTTGGGAGAAAGGACCGGGTAAGAGACAGAGATCTGACTCCGGCCACTTCCTTCTGCTCCCCACAGCCTTCCCAGTCACACTAGCTTCCTGCAGTTCCTCCAACAGATCCATTTCTTTCCTGCCTCCTTCCCACTGCTGTTGCCTCAACTTGGAAGGGCATAGAGCCTGGATTTAACAAATATTTGCTTAATGATTCAATAGATGATCTTGGAACTCTTTTAAGCGGAGTAAACGTTAAATCCTTGAGAATGTATGAGACTGCCACAGAAGAAAGTATGCAGAAAGAAAAGGTGTCAATACAGAAGAGTCAGCAAATAACTGTACAAGGGCACATTCAGAGCGTAACCAGGATAATTGCAGACCCGATTCAAGGAGGCAGGTAACACTCAATGCTCAGCGGAGGCAAACAGGGTGAAGAATGAAAGAATGACTGGGTTTGGCAATAATTTCAGAAAAGAACGTCGAGGAAGTAATTTTCCATGAGGTTGCGTGGGGGTGGGGTGATAGAGGTCAGATAATTAAGCAAAAGAAGTCAACTAATACAGACTATTTTATTAAAAGGTTTAGGGAAGAGAAGCCATTCTTCTACCAGAGAGTAGGGAAACAACTAGAGAGAAGCAAACTGCGGCACAGTGAATAAAAACATGGGGCTACATTCTAAAGGCGCTGTGCATCTCTATCAGCAGACTTTTGGCAGGTCCCCAGTGCTTTTCACACGTACTATCTTATCTGATCGTACCCCAGCTCCCTGATGATACACCCTCTAACTGAGGGGTTCCCAAGGTGTGGTCCGTAGACCAGCTGCAACATCACAGAGAACTTGTCGGAAAGGCACATTCACGGGCTCCACACCAGGCCTACAGAATCAGAAACTGCAGGTGGGGCCCAGCAATCTGTTCTAACAAGTCCTCCAAGGGATTCTGATGCTCTCCAAGTCCCCACTGCCATCACACTCGGGAGACAACCGCTGCAGAGCGCGAGGGCCGCGGTTGGAGGGCAGAATTTCCCCCTCTGAACCGTCGGTTTGTGTCCTCCTCGCTCCTAAGGGAGGCAGTGAACAATCAGACAGCCCCTCAGAGCAAAGTCGTCCCGCTAGGGACTCAGCCAGAGCGAGCTCCGCCCACCCCGGCCGGGGCGGAGGCGAGGTGTGGTTTCCTTCCCCAAGCCACGCCCCCGGACCCGCCCCCAGCCTCCGCCCCCGCACGACCCGAGCGCCCCCGCCCTCCGGTTTCGACTTCCGGCGCTGGAGGAGGGGGCCGGCAGGGAGGGACTCCAGGCGGACGCGTCCAACTTTGAGACCGGCGGGGGGCGGCTCTGCTCTTCCAACCCCTCCGTGTGTTAACAGGACGGAAGACGCAGCAGCGGAAGAAAAATAAGCTAGTCTAGGACAGGTATCCAGGCGACGTGGAACCCAGTAAGGGAAGAAAGAAGCCTTGAAAAGTCTCTCCCCTCCCCTATTTCGGTCCCTCACCTTAACCCGCGCGGAATGGAAAAGGCGGAGGCGCTCGGCCAAGATCTAAGCGGGCCGCCGGGGTGGGGCCAGGGGAAGAAATCTCGCGATAGGAGAGCGGTCCGGGCGGGGGTGGCACCTCTCCCTCCTCCTCCTGGCGTTAGTTCCGGTCGCAGAGGAGACACCGCCGCAGTTGCCGCTACATCGGGGATTTCTGGCTCTTTCCTCTTCGCCTTAAATTCGGTGAGGCGCTGCGCCCCGCTCACCCAAAGCCGACGTTGCGGGCCGTCGACACTGGGCAGAGGGCAAGGGAGGCAGCGAGCTGGATGCGGCCCGGCTAGGATGGGCCCGAACGGAGGCCGCCTCTCGAGGCCCGGCCGGATCCTGGGCCTGAAAGGCTGCCGCTTCGGCAGGGAGGCCGAGGGGCGGCAGTGGCTCGGGTCGGGAAGTGGGGTCAGGGTGCGCGCCGCGGCGAAATCAGGGGCTGAGGCGGCCCCCTCCGGGCCCTTCCTAGCCTGGGTAACAAAGCCACCGCGGCCTCTGTTGGGTGGTATACGCGTGGAGGCTTCCTCCGGGCGGGGCGGAGGGTCCACCATCACCACTGCGGCCGCTGCCTCCGCCGCTGCTTTCGCCGGAGGGCGGGCGGATGTACGGGGTGGCTGGGGACCCGGCGCGAAGCGCCTCAGCGCCTGTGGTCCGTTCGTTGCGGCGGCCGCCACCGCCGGCGACAGGGTTAGTAGAGAAGGAGCCGCGGCACCCTACGGCGCCCCGCTGTGGCCAAGGGGGTCCTGAGCGGGAGGCTAGGAAGGGTGTGGAGTGGGAGACACGTGCCCGGGGAGGAGGCTGGGACTGTGGGATTATGGGCGAAGGAGGCTAGTACTGGCTGCTCTCTGTTAGTTTTGCAAGCTTGAGTGGTGCAAGGCGACCGCAGCTGCGGTCACAGGCATGACCTAGGGTAGGATGGTGCTGTTCATAATCAGGCCTGTCAGAAGACGGGGTTCACCTTTTGACAGTGTTTTAGAATTGGCATACATGTTTTGGAAGCCTCTTGACTATGGTGGTAATCTGCGTTCTGCGCTGCTTAGTGGTCGTGGAAGATTAAGTGAATGTAAAGAGGAATGTGGAGAAAACTGAGCAATTAGGTTTATGATGGGTGATCAGTGTAGCACTGTAATGTCGCTTATTATGTAGTTCACAGCACTAATTTAAAGAGTTTCTTGTAGAGAGAAATGCAGATTTTGACGTTCCGTTTGTGCCTGCACCGGGTATAATTGGAAGCTGAGAGTGCGTGTTCCATTCGATTCATGTGTGACTAGGCTAAGGTTTGATGCTTTGTTTTAAAAATGAGTATTATGGCACTGATATTAAGGCTTTATTTCTCCTTTCCTAGGGTGTCTTTTATGAATAATCAAAAGCAGCAAAAGCCAACGCTATCAGGCCAGCGTTTTAAAACAAGAAAAAGAGGTAAACATTTATGTTTTAATGTCTGTCTCCAAACCTCCAGAATATCTTGTTTCTTGCCTCCTGTTATAGGCACTTGCATAGTACTAAAGCCTCAATAGAAGATACCAGAAAGTAACTTAAATTTATCGTTGACTGCCATTTCAGATACACCTTTAATATTTCTACTGCTTTCTCAAGCCTTAATTTTTAGTATTAATATATCTCTAAGCCGATTAGTGAATGTTTTTAATGTGAAGGTAAAGTACTTTTTTAAAACAAAAATAAGGGCTCTGTTTTCACTAGCAAGCAGTGAAATCAGCAAACTTAAATGAGCAAAGATGTTAAATTTATAAAAGGAAAGCTCCTAATGTAGTCACACAGATTTTGTGAAAATTTGTGAGAAAACTCAAGACTTCACCCATGGACATTAATTATGGAACAGGATTCACATTGTAGTGTCTTTTGAAATTACAGACTTAGTAGGGAAAATATTAGAATTATATTACTACTTTTTTGCATTAGTGTGTACTTAGGTGAATATTGAATTCTGTAGCAAAGTGCTGTGCTAATGATATAAAGCTAAATAAGAGGTGGTCTCATATTTTTAACGTTTTTGCTCAAATGCACTTTAACCTTATTTTGCAGGGGGTTTTGAGGAAATGAAGAACTGGGTCAGCTATTGGTTAGAAGTTGTGTTTTTCTTTTTCTACCTTAAGTAGCAGACGTTTTGAGATATATATTGTAGAATTTTATAATCACTAATTGTAGGCTGTCTGTCTCCTTGTAGTGGTAGTGGGGAGACCAAAGTGTGATTTGATTCTAATCTTTGCAGATTCATTTAGATTTAGCTGGTAAATTTTCTTAAGGAGCTGGAGTTGTAAACTAGAGCAATTTGTCAGTAAAAGGGGAAAGTCTGTATCTCTTGAATGTGTGGATTACTGATGTTACCTTGATATGAATAATAACAAGTAGCTTTATCATCATTATTAGCATCAGGGAGAGGTATCACTTCCCCAGTTCCATATAAAGATCATTCGTGGCCTGGCTGTTGATGATTAGGGTCCTGGGTAGGGTATACAACAATCCCTGTTTGTCTGGAACTGAGGGAGTTTCCAGACACAAGGCTTTGAGTGCTAAAACCGGAAAAGCACTGGGCAAATAGAGGTATTTGTTACCCTAGTACTGTGTGAAAATTAAGATACTATCTACTAGATTGGGAAAGCAAAACGCTATTATGGAGTTTGTGAAAGCAATTCGGTACAGGTTGGCGATGTGCACGAGACTATGGCCTGGGTGCTTTTTATATTATTAATGTCATTTAGCATTTGCAGCAACTTTATGGGATAAGTACTATTCTTTTTTTTTTTTTTTTTTTTTCTTTTCTCTTTTGAGAGAGTCTTGCTTTGTTGCCCAGGCTGGAGCGCAGTGGTGTGATCTCGGCTCACTACAACCTCTGCCTCCCTGGTTCAAGTAATTCTCCTGCCTCAGCCTCCTGAGCAGCTGGGATTACGGGTGTGAGCCGCCAGCCCCAGCTAACTTTTGTATTTTTAGTAGAGACAGAATTTCACCATGTTGGTCAGGCTGGTCTCGAAATTCTGACTTCGTTATCTGCCCGCCTCTGCGAAGTGCTGAGATTAAAGGTGTGAGCCACCACACCTGGCCTTGGATAGGTACAATTCTTACCCACATTTTATAGTAGGAGAATTCTGGCATGGAGAATGAGGCTGTTTGCTCAAATTCAGATGGTTAAATGGAGATCAGGATTTGAATTGGACAGTTTAACTCCAGACCCCATGTTCTGAATTACTATACAATATAGTCTCCGTAATTTCTCTCTGTTTTTTTCCTTCTGAATAAATAGGGGGAAAAGTCTGCCTCATAAAGTTAACAGGATTAATATAGTTTCTGTCATATTGGGTGCTCATTAAATGTATTTTCTAAAGCTCACCTGCATAAATGCCAAATTAATGGTTCAAATTTTTTTTTTCTTTTTAGCATTATGGACATTTATAGAAAAGGGTCAAGAGCTCCAGTGTGTGGGCAAAACTCAAAGGAATAAAATTTACCTGTTAGAGGATGGCCTAAATTTTAGAAAAGCCAAGAGGTGAAGGGTGTTCCCAGTAGAAATTGCCTCATGGCAGTAGGAGCACAGACACTAGCACATTTAGCTCACTTGTGAAATTGTTTGAAAGTTGCACAATTCTTGTGAGTGGGCTATCCATCCTATCTTGTACTTTCAGAGGAGAAACATGCGAGGGATGTGAATTTAATCCTAACTTATTTAGCAGTTACAGCTTCATAAGGTGGTAGTTTTGTGGCATTTTGGTAAATCTTTTAAAACTATTGTTTTGGGTCTCCTGTCCCTCCAGATGAAAAAGAGAGGTTTGATCCTACTCAGTTTCAAGACTGTATTATTCAAGGCTTAACTGAAACCGGTACTGATTTGGAAGCAGTAGCTAAGTTTCTTGATGCTTCTGGAGCAAAACTTGATTACCGTCGATATGCAGAAACACTCTTTGACATTCTGGTGGCTGGTGGAATGCTGGGTAAGTGTCTGGGGTTTGTGGGCTTAATAATTTAGAGAAGTATAATGTATGGAGACTGTGGAGAATCTAGAATATGAACTATTTGGCAAACTTGTTAAAATGGGGTGATTTATTTGCTTACGTTGTATTTTGGTTTTATCCAACTTTAGCCCCAGGTGGTACACTGGCAGATGACATGATGCGCACAGATGTCTGCGTGTTTGCAGCCCAAGAAGACCTAGAGACCATGCAAGCATTTGCTCAGGTAAATGAAACTTTACATAATTGTTTTCAGTTAGCTTCTATCCATATGATATGTTTGAAGAATATTCTACTTTTAAGAGTTGCAGGTAGAAAGTTGAAGAAATTTGATTTTAAATTTTGGAGATACTGTTCTTGGTGCAGCAGGATAAATTAGAAACTTAAGGTGTGTTAAGGCAAACAAAATAGGGGAAAATTAAATTAACTCTCCTTTTCCTACTTGTCCTGGAAATTGCTTAGTTTTTAAGAAAAATGTCAAGCTGAAAATGAAAGTTCCATATTGTGATTTCCCTAGTTTATCTGCGTATATTTATTTTTAAAGATATGAGCTGTGGGCTTATTTATTAGCTTGTTAATCAAGATCTCTTCTGTGTAAGAGTGAATACAAAAAAGAAAGAAAAAAAAAGATCTCATAGGAAAGTTTCATATGTAGTTATGTTTATATTACTGTAAGCAAAGAAAGTACATCTAACTTGGACATTTTTATGTGTCACTAGGAAATGTAGAATTGTATTTATGATGTGTTCTGTTCATGTCCTACAAATGGGTAAATGGCTTATATTTGAGCAATAATTAGTCCTTGTTTCATACACAGCAATAAAAATCTGTTGGGAGGTGGTTGTCAATAGTATTGGTGAAATTTAAGAATTGACAAACTCTTCTCAAGCTTGTTTAAACAGCTTATAAACTTATATCTAGTGAAAGTTTTACTACCTTGCCGTTCTAGAAATATATGAAGTTACTGAATTAATTTAATGTTTTTGATAGGTTTTTAACAAGTTAATCAGGCGCTACAAATACCTGGAGAAAGGTTTTGAAGATGAAGTTAAAAAGGTATGAGGAATAATGTATTTATGGAAAAGAAAAAATTAGGATTAGAAAGAGGAATGTTAAATCCTAATTCTGTCATGGATTTGGGGTGATTTTGTTTGGTTGGTTGGTTTTTTGAGATGGAGCCTCGGTCTGTGTCCCAGGCTGGAGTGCAGTGGCTCAGTCTCAACTCGCTGCAGCCTTCGCCTCCTGGATTCAAGTGATTCTTGTGCCTCCGCCTACCGAGTAGCTGGGATTACAGGCATGTGCCACCATGCCTGGCTGAATTTTCTATTTTTAGTAGATATAGCATTTGACCATGTTGGCCAGGCTGTTCTTGAACTCCTGGCCTCAAGTGATCTGCCCTTGGCCTCCCAAAGTGTTGGGATTACAGGTGAGAGCCAACACGCCTGGCCCAATATTGCATATAGATAGACGGAAAACCTGATATTTTTGTCAAGGACCAGGCACTTTTCTAATAACATTAATTCAGTTAATATTTATAAAAACCCTGTGAGGCAAGTTTTATTACCCACATTTTACATGTGAGGTGCAGAGGTTGAGTAACTTGCCCAAGATCATTCAGCTAATAAGTATTATAACTGAGATGTAAACTTGGATGGTTAGATTTCAGAACCCACGTATTGAATCAGTAACCAGTATAACATGCTTTACTGCTTCTCTTAATGTAGTGCAATTGCTCTTTTAACCCTTAACCTGTTTTACTTTTTACAGCTGCTGCTGTTTTTAAAGGGTTTCTCAGAGTCGGAGAGGAACAAACTGGCTATGTTGACTGGCGTTCTTCTGGCTAATGGAACACTTAATGCATCCATTCTTAATAGCCTTTATAATGAGAATTTGGTTAAAGAAGGTAATCGACCCTAAAGGATGGTCTTAGTTGACTCAGTGGGGTAGATAAGAGCATGGTTTACTGTTCATAGATGTGACTTGTGTGGTAGTCGTCGTTTACTAACCAGCTTTAAATTTAGTAAATGCATTCTAACTCACTAGACATTTAATGAGTACCTTTAGCATCCAGGTTTAATGGCTTTCTTTAGGCATACAACAAATACCCAGGTTTAGACAAAATGTTATATGCAATGAAAATAAAATGAGAAACGCTGTGGGAACCCCAAAAGAGATTAATACCAATTGGGAGACTTGAGACGATCTTTAATGAAGAAAATGTTATTGGAGAAAATGTCAAGCTAGAAGGGAAAATCAATTCCCTATTTGGCTTCAATTGTCAGATTGTTGTGTACAGTAATTTTTTTGAAGCTAACTTTTTTTTAAAAAAAACTGCTTAGAGTACTGAGTATCTAAGCTGCCTTACTGTAATTCTCACAACAGCTTTGTCAAGTGTAGAGACTTTTGCCCTCAGTTTTACACTTTTGAAAATACTTCTAAGTAATTTGGCCAAGAATATACAACTTGCAATGGGTAGACTACGGAAGTTGGAGAAGTGATAAACTGTGGTCCAGGAAAGTTCAGGAATAAGTTTGTGGGGAAAGTCGGTAATTCCATGTGATTGCACTATGAAGGGAAGGATGTAGGGGATACAGTGATTGAAACCAGGAAGGTACTTTTGTTAAGTAAGATACTTTCTTTTGCAGGGGTTTCAGCAGCTTTTGCTGTAAAGCTCTTCAAATCATGGATAAATGAAAAAGATATCAATGCAGTAGCTGCAAGTCTTCGGAAAGTCAGCATGGATAACAGACTGATGGTTTGTAACTTTTTTCTTCCCATTCTTGCCAAAAGATGTAAATGAGAGAAACTTCTCATTTTTAAGACTGAAAAGAAAGTGTTTTTCTTAATCTGATTTAAAGAAACTTTAACTAGATTAAATCTCCTTTTAGGAACTTTTTCCTGCCAATAAGCAAAGCGTTGAACACTTCACAAAGTATTTTACTGAGGCAGGCTTGAAAGAGCTTTCAGAATATGTTCGGAATCAGCAAACCATCGGAGCTCGTAAGGAGCTCCAGAAAGAACTTCAAGAACAGATGTCCCGCGGCGATCCATTTAAGGATGTAAGTTTTTTGTTTGAACCGTCTTTTTACAGCTAAGCTTCTGGCATATTTTCACTAAGCTGAGGAACTTATTCCACCAGGATGAGATTGAGTTAATACCAACAGTATTTTACTTGAACTTTGCCTCAGTCTTGCGTATGTTTTTTCAGTGCCTGACCGAGGCCCAGAAATGTAAGCCTGGAGCTCAAGGCACCTTTCAACTGTAAAGGTCTCTTTTCATATGTGGTACAGATGTGGTTGTTGCCAGGTGCATGGGAGTCGTTATGTTTTTGTTAAAGGTCTAAACTTGATGTGTGAAGTATGTACATATCAAAACTGACTTCTGTTACTAAATTTGGATTCTTTTACAGATAATTTTATATGTCAAGGAGGAAATGAAAAAAAACAACATCCCAGAACCAGTTGTCATTGGAATAGTCTGGTCAAGTGTAATGAGCACTGTGGAATGGAACAAAAAAGAGGAGCTTGTAGCAGAGCAAGCCATCAAGCACTTGAAGGTATTAGAACTATTCCTTGACAAAACAAACTATTCTACTTTTATGTGGGGATAAGTGAACTGTGACCAACTATACTTTTCTAAGAGGAATTACCACATCCTGTGGTTCCTGGGGATGGCCCACCATTAAATAGACAAATAGTAACATTAACTATTAAAGATAATGCCCTGAATTGGGCTGTGGTTCACAGGTTAAAAACAAGGACATGGCCAAGCACAATGATTCATGCCTGTAAACCCACCACTTTGGGAGGCCAAGGCAGGAGGATTGCTTGAGCTCAGTTTGATACCAGCCTGGGCAACATAGTGAGACCTCATCTCTACTAAAAATCACAAGAATTAGCGAGTCATGGTGACACATGCCTGTAGTCCCAGCTACTCAGGAGACTGAGGCAGAGGATCACTTGAGCCCTGGAGATCAAGACTGCAGTGAGCTTATGATGGCTGATGGTTTTGTCAGACAGAGCCCTTGTAAAAGTGTGAGATCCTGTCTCAAAAAAAAAGCAAAAACAATGGAAAGGAACTGAAGCTTGTAACTAAACATTTGATTTTGAAGGGGTTATTGGAAAATAGGAGTGTTCTTTTTTATTCCCCTCTAAAATACTAATATTGTTTGACATTTACCTGGACTACTTGGTACAGTATTATTTATTTTACCTAGCGGCTTAGGAGATTTTTCTGCTTTGCTATTTTTTAAATTTCTTTCTTTTTTTTTTTTGAGACAGTCTTCTCTGTCTCCCAGTGTGGAATACAGTGATGTGATCTCAGCTTACTGCAGCCTCCATCTCCTGGGTTCAAGCACAATTCTCCTGCCTCCTTGGCCTCCCAGGTAGCTGGGACTACAGGTGCACACTGCCATGCCTGGCTAATTTTTGTGTTTTTAGCAGAGATGGGGTTTTAGCATGTTGGCCAGGGTGGCCTCAGACTCCTAACATCATGTGATCTGCCCGCCCTGGCTTCCCAAAGTGCTGGGATTACGATGTGAGCCACTGCTCCGAGCCTAATTTTTAAATTTATTTCTGGTAAATCAGTTATAATTCACAGTGATTATAAAAGGTGAGTTAAGTTCTATACTGTAGGAGTTTTATAGTGGATGCTAACTGTAATGAATGACTAAATTTTTTCTCCATTCCCTTTAACAGCAATACAGCCCTCTACTTGCTGCCTTTACTACTCAAGGTCAGTCTGAGCTGACTCTGTTACTGAAGATTCAGGAGTATTGCTATGACAACATTCATTTCATGAAAGCCTTCCAGAAAATAGTGGTGCTTTTTTATAAAGGTAATGTATATTTTAAATGTTGTAAATACATTTAGTAAAAATTCTTGAACACAAAATGATGCAAATAAGTAGTTATCTGGACATCAGCTTCCTGAAATATTTTACTTCTAGTTATGAGTCACCTCTGATTCCATCGGGTGCTTTTTAGTGCATTGGTATTTTTTAAAAACATCTCTAAACCATATTTACAGTGTTAAAGTGTGAAATCTAAAGCCATCATTATGCATCCTCAGACTTTGCCTCCTATACTCTAACCAGGTATATACGTTCCCAAAGTCCAGCTGGGCATGGTGGCTCACACTTTTCATTCCAGCACTTTGGGAGGAGACTGAGGCAGGAGGATTGCTTGAGCCCAAGATTTCAAAACCAGCCTGGGCTACATAAGGAAACTTCTCCTCTACAAAAAAATTAAAAATTAGCTAGGGAACGGTGGCACTCAGAAGGCTGAGTTGGGACTTGAGCCCAGGTGATCAAGACTTCAGTGACCCATGATTGTGCCATTGCACTCCAGCAGTCTGGGCAACAGGTGAGACCTTGTCTCAAAAAAAAAAAAAAAAAAAAAAAACACCCAGATACCTTTTCCAGACACACTGTAATCTTAGCTGTGTAATCGTAGCTTTGGAGTCTTAATTAATCCTGTGTGAATCCTGCTTCTCTTCATCTTACTCCCTCACCCAGTGTTGACTTTGTTGTCCCTCAAGACCATTTCAGAGTGCTTCTATAGAAACCCTGATTTCAGTTACTGTTCCCTTTCTCTTCATCCCAATTGTAGAAACCTGGGAAGTAAAGACAAGACCCTTGGTTGGGAGAATATCCATTGTGGTTATTTAATTTGCTATGTTTGGTTGTAACACTTTGAAATTCTACATTCATCAGACCAGTCTTGATCCTCCAGAGTATAGCTGGTGTGCTCATGCATTATTCCAGTTTTCATGATTAACTTTTCAGCAGTTTGTTTGCTAAGCAGGCATTTGCACATTAGGTGGTGGTTCTAACTCTGTCCAAGTAGAGTGTATTAAACTCCCCTAATGTAATGAATTTTCTTTCCAGCTGAAGTCCTGAGTGAAGAGCCCATTTTGAAGTGGTATAAAGATGCACATGTTGCGAAGGGGAAGAGTGTTTTCCTTGAGCAAATGAAAAAGTTTGTGGAGTGGCTCAAAAATGCTGAAGAAGGTAAGAATTTTCCTTTGGGTGGTTTGTTTGGTAAAGCTTAAAAACTAATTTTAATGTGGCCATAATAAATGTTCACACATGCTTCTTTCTTTCTGATGCCACTTTGTACCTAGGGTAGAGATTCTTGTTAACTTGGGCAGCAGGTAGAGAAAGCTAGAGTTTAATTATTATAGTATATTTATGGCTCAGCCATATAGTAAATGTTCTTGGTGAAGTAGAAAATTTTGCGAATATTTAATGTTTATAAATTTGTGGATTTCTTTTTTTTTTTTTACTTTTTTTTAAATTAAAAAAATATAGAGACAGGGTCTCACTATGTTGCTTAGGCTAGTCTTGAACTTCTGAGCTCAAGCAACCCTCCTGCCTCAGCCTCTCAAAGTGCAGGGATTGCAGGCGTGACTGCACCCAGCCAAATGTTGGGATCTGCAAGTGGATACTTTTGACTATCCCCCTCATCTAAGTAGGTTTTTAATAAAATTCTTCATGATAAACAGCTTCAAAGTTATATGGAGGCCAGATATGGTGGCTCATGCCTGTAATCCTAGCCCTTTGAGAGGCTGAGGCAGGTGGGTCACTTGAGGCCAAGAGTTTGAGACCAGCCTGGCCAACATGGGAAACCCTGTCTACTAAAAATACAAAAAGTAGCTAGGCTTGGTGGTGGGCGCCTGTAGTCCCAGCTACTTAGGAAGCTGAGGTGGGAAGATCACTTGAACTCAGGAGGCAGAGGTTGCAGTGAGCCGAGATGGTGCCACTGCACTCCAGCCTGTGTGACAGAGGCAGACTCTGTCCCAAAAACAAACAAAAAGCTTCAAAGTTATAAATGGGAACTTTCGCCTTCTGATATATAATGCTTAACTGCATGTTTCCCCTTTTCTAGAATCTGAGTCTGAAGCTGAAGAAGGTGACTGAATTTTGAAACTACACCCTCAGTAAAGCAAACAGGAGTTGTAGATAAAATGTCATGTCTCATGTGTCCTGGTTCTTACATCTTCCTACCTCCCTGTATCAAGCATGATATAAGGGCTTTCATGGCAAATTTTATTTTAACTGTTTCTATGGTTGCTGGAAATGTTGGGTTTAGTTCCTAAAACCATGTTTTAAGTAGCTACAGGAGCTATAGATTTGAATCTAATGTTGCATTAGTCTTTTCAGTTATCTTCTACCTCCTGTATTTTCTACTGTAATGTAATTTAAGGCCTTCCACAATGAACAGTTCACTTTATTCCCTGGGTTTTCTATAAACAGTTTTCAAAATATGATTTGGTTAAAAAATAATAATTTGTTATAACAATTCTGTTTGCAAATTAAACTGTAAAAGTATCCAGAGTCTCAAAAGGCGATGATTTGTGTGATAATATGGCATGTCCGGAGCCCTACTCATCAATTTAAAATCCATATATTGAATTCATTTAACATGAATCTTGAATATGAGGACCATTGCTTGCATGGTTTTTGTTTTGTTTTGTTTTGTTTTGTTGTTTGCATTTTTAACTCCAGGTGTCCTAAAGCTCAATTGTTTGCTCTCTGGTTTTCATCCTTAGAGAATCCATGGAGAACAGACTTGAAAAGTTTAGGAAATCAGTGCTCGCTTCGGCAGCACATATACTAAAATTGGAAAAGTTTAGGAAATCATAATGTGGCAGAGGTGGTGGGAAGAAGAAATTTGAGCTTTTTCCCCTTAAGAAACTTCTGCATTTATTTGTATTTTTCCAGGCAAAACAAATGGGTATTCTTTTCATACAGCCATTTTCAAATAAACCTCAGAAAAGTCTTATTTAAGGTATTTTATGCACAGAATTCACTTAGACTGATATGAAAGAAGTCATAAAGGAGTTTGAGTAAAGAAAATGACTGATGTACTTACTTAACGCAGTAAAAATTGTTAAAAATGTTAAAAGGTCAGCATGTTCTAATTGGGAATCTAGATATAGCTTAGATTTCCTATTGGCTTAGAGTATTTTCTATAACAAATGAAGTGCAATGACAATTATATATTGCTACTTGGTCATACTGGACTGGCTTCATTCTCTTAACATTCAGTAATGACTCAAGCCTCTGGCTAGTAACATACCCTAGTTGCCAATTTTTTAATTGCCATGAGCCAAATATTTCTTGTATACAAATTGATCATTTATTTTAATGGCTGCCTTTTTATTTTCATCTTTTCTTGCTGCTACCCATCTATGTATGTAGTCACTGGGGGGGGGGGGGGTGTAGCTACATTTTTTATGGAAAGATTTTGTGTTAAAAGTGAACATTTTGAAGGTTTTTAACTGGTGAAAGAAATTAGCCTGGAATAATGCCACCAGAGACTGAGTGGAAATCGCCCCTTTTGAAGGTGCCATTCTTATGAGCCAAAAGTTTGTTGTTTAAAAGTTCATTTTGAGGGAATAACATGTAATATAATTTGAAATAAAGGTATAGTAACCTTTAAAAGAACATAATAACTGAGTATTGTGAATGAGGTGAATTTGTTAAATGAATAACTTTGATAAAGTTTTCATGCACAGGCAAAATGTATTCACTAGATTTCTACGTAGTGATCTGCTTTTACTTTGTAATTTGTAGTTCTCAAAAGACTTTTTTTTAAAAAATAAAGTCCATACTTAACACTTAGGCTTTATATATCAGTCTTTTTTTTTTTTTTTTGTAAATTCCATGTTAATACCTACTAGTATTATATGTTGTGTGTTCAGATGTCTTTATAACAATAAGTAGTAATTAGACTCCAAAACTGTAAACCACCTACACAGAATTCTGTTGTAGCCAAAACTACATTAATATTTCTACAACCAATTCATTGCATGTTTCTGCCTTACAAAGTATGCCATTTTATACTGTGTGTAGTGAAAAAGTGTGTCATCTTCCAGAACTACATTATGATCTTTGATCGTAGTTTCTTCATAATAACACAGTAGTGTTTACTTAGACAATACTATAGTAAATGGATATTACTTGTGTGGTGGTATAAAGAAAGGGGATGCTTTGTAAAAAGACTGCAGATTTCATTCCATATAAAAAGATTCCATTCTGAATCAAGTGGTAATTTTAGAATTCAGGTGCCACTGCCAGCCTATGGCCTCAAATGTGTAATTCTTAATATAGATGTTAAATTGTACTTTTAATTTGATTACGATTGGATAAATGTTGATTTTTCTAACAGTGTCAGTTTCTTTTTATTTTTTATTTTTTTATTACTCACTGCCAGAGAAGCATAATAGTGTCAGTTTCTAAGGATGTCTCCTCTTGGAAACTATTCTTACTCTGGGAGTTATAGATGTTTATTACTTCATTCTGCACATAGATGTTTATTATTTTAAAAAAGAGAACTCCATATACTAAAAATGCTACAGGATATTTTGAAATAGCATAATGATTTAGGGGAAATGCATGTGACCAAGAGATTGGACTTCTAATTCAGTTTTTCAAAAGTTTTTTTTCCATTATACCCCCAGCCTTTTTAGACTTTTAAATATAGTCCCCCATAAATTTTAATATCATAGATATGCTGTATATATACTACTGTATCTGCTTTATACATGAAAGGAGTAAACTTTTTTTTTTTTTTGAGATGGAGTCTTGCTCTGTCACCCAGGCTGAAGTGCAGTGGCCCAATCTAGGCTCACTGCAACCTCCACCTCCCCATCCCAAGTTCAAGCAATTCTCTTGCCTGAGCCTCCTAAGTAGCTGGGATTATAGGTATGTGCCACCACTCCCAGTTAACTTTTGGATTTTTAGTAGAGATGGGATTTCACCACGTTGATCAGGCTGTGTGAGCCGCCACGTCCAGCCACTTTTTTTTTTTTGAGGAGGGTCCTTCTTGGTAGTGATTCACCCCCATTGAGAATGCACACTCTAATCTTTTTTTAAAGGGAAGAAGGCCTAGTGATAGATGTTTGCATTGTCTTTATGTTTATACTGTGAAGCAATATTTCTTCTGTCAGGGTCAATAGAAAATAGATAAAATTCATGTTCAGCCAGTCTTCACCAGTTGTGCTTTGTACCCTACCCTACCATATGCAACAGGCAAAGCATTTCCCGCTGTCTTTCGAGGTCTTAACAGATTCTTACTTGATTGTAAATGTATCACTAAGTAGAATCATTTGGGTTTCTTCTATAGAAATCAGTGAAAATCCTCCAGATGAATGAATGCAAGTTGTAGGCATAACACTGATCAACAGTATTGAATTTTTTCTGATAAACTTCTGCTGTCATACTCAAGTAGGCTGCTTGCAGGAACTAACAATTACTGGTTGGCTTTAAATGTAACAGATGCCAAAGTTTTAGTTTCCGCTGTTAAACTACCAAACTACTTTTGTAAAAATATTCTTCAGATTCTGTCTATGGGTGCCATATAAAGTAGGTTAATAGCTATTTGCAAATTCTGGTAAATTGCCTTGCTATGATTTTTCATGTTCAGTATTAGTGCTCTAGTATCAATATGAAGTTTTTCTATTCCCCAGCGTACTAAGGCTTCAAGGTTAAAATATTAAGAGTAAAAAGGTTTTCAGTGGGCTTAATTTAAGTGGAATCTGGATGATGTGATAAGTACTTCTGTCTTTAAGTAATGAGTTTATAATTGGCTTTTGTCCAAGAACTTTAAGTGGACTCGTACCTGAACAATCTTAGGCATAATTATATGAAACTGAGGATCAGAAAGCTTCCTGACTCCTTTCTCTTCACTTTTTTCTCCCAACTTAACTATAGGCAATCAAGAGTCATATCAAATCTAATTATTTTTATTTTCCAGTATATTTATTACCCTTTTATCTTTATGCTAGGAGTATAGTCTTAGTTCTAAATGAGTGGATGGGGTGAAGATATTTTATATGTGCTTAATCACTGTCATTTTAGTAACCCTGAATCAGAGCCTCAATTAAAGGCTTAACTGCTTGTGTTTATAGTGCCCTGGAGGGGACAGTGGTTAAAATCTGCAGAATCCCTTGCTTTGTAGTCTTTATCCAGAAGACTGTTAACTTGTTAAACTGGGATATGATTAGAATGTTAGTGGTTGTGTAGTGCGTTTGGGGTGCTGCAACGTTAATCAGATATAATTGAGCTATTCTGTTGTAGAGAATTTTCAGTCAGTATAACCATTTAAAAATACCTAAGCAAAACAAGCTAGGAGCTAGTTCATACTAATATACTTAAAAGGACAAAATAAAGTTTTTTTTTTAAGCTGAAATCCTGAAGGCTGTGCTTAAAAGTTAACGTAGAGGTAAACCTGTTGGAAATAAGTGATCCGTTTATAGACTGAAGCCTCTATGACTCAAAAAGATAATCTACAGTCTCTGGCATTTGAAGAACAAAGTATTTTCTCTGTAAATACACCTCATTTCCATTCTAGTTAGGAGTAATGGCACCCAGCACAGCACACAGTTGAAGAATGGAGAAAACTGGATAGCTGGTAACCCAGATAGCTCTTGGCACTCTGAACAACCTCAAGTACAGCCATCCAAGCCAGTAATTCTATTGCATTATTTCTGTGTTTAACTGTGAAACTTGCTTCTTGTCTGTACCCTTGAAATTGAATAAAATTTCATGAGACTCCTTGTTAATGTAGAGAAAAGCAATGACTATTCAGTTGGTTGTACACTAAGGCCTCAGTCCTTGACCTTTCCCGTTTTGCCTCAGTGTTTTAAATATGATGTAAAGAAAGGCCTGTGCTTCCATTTTTTTCTGACTCATTTTTGCATTTGTATGGCTCACATGTACTTAAAATTGTACGTGTTCCCAAAAATGCCAGTGTTTAATTCGAAAGACATGAGTGCCATCTACAGAATACTTCAAGTCCTGTCCACTTTAACTCCAAAATAATTTTGAATGCCACCGCAATTCCGGCCACCAGCATTTCACCTAGTTACTAAGTGATCTTTGCATCCATTTTTGTGCATCTCATCTTTCAACAGCAAAAGTGGTCTTTGGATGTAGTTTACCAGTTTAAAAGCTTTGTCTTTGCCTAGGTCTTTCATGAACTATTCAGCCTCATCTGCCTTTTCATCACTATGTGCTCTGTAGTTGGCAGAGCTTGTCACATGCAAACCCCCAGGTAATTGAAATGAGCAAGCTGATTACTAACTGGATGCGTATCCAGGGAATAGCGAGGAGATTATAAAACCCATCAATTTCATACTATTCGTGTTTTGTTTTTTGAGATGGTCTTGCCCTGTCACCCAGGCTGGCATGATCACATCTCAGTGCAACCTCAAATTCCTAGGCTCAAACAATCCTTGCACCTCAGTAGCTGGGACTGCAGGTGTCATGCTTAATACTATTATTAAAAAGACAGGTAGGAGGAAAGTTTGTACAATTAAAGCTGTTATGTGTTAAGTGTTTTTATTAGGAAGCAACTTTTCTTAGACAAGATTAGATCCAAGCTATTTCTGTCCTGTGATTAGTATTGCTATGACTGATGTGACCAAGACAGGATGAGAA